AGTAATTTCACTTTAATGGCAATGAATAGGTTCTTTTCATTGCCATTAAAGTGAAATAACTGAACATAAACATTGGAGCCTGAGAAGAATGCTCATTTTAGAAGAACATTTCAAATGGCACGTAGAGGCTTTTGCCTCTGAACTTTTCATATGTTTTCAAGTACAGCAGTAAACCTGATGGCCATTGTTATTTACATGAGTACAGCACATATGTTCACATCTGTTCATGTGGTGTTATATTAACTTGTGTATGTGTGCGCAGGGATTGGCGGAGAAACACCAGAAGACACTGGCATTGCTACGTAAACAGCAGACGGTGATTCTTGACGATGAGCTGATTCAGTGGAAGAGACGTCAACAGCTGGCTGGCAATGGCGGGCCGCCCGAGGGAGGACTGGACATACTACAGTCATGGTGCCCACACATGCATACTTAGCAGTCTAATTTAGGACATACCATAGACCTCTATTGTTTTTAAAGCTAAAGATAATTTTAATTACTACAGATTAAGCCAACCCCTTATGTACAGTTGGTACACACACACATGCTCCAAGTGAATAGTGTGCATAGCATTAGCATAATACAACACTCTGTACTGTAACATTAGTAACACATGCTTTAAAGGGGCATATCGTAAACATTGTAGCGTCATAAACTACTGCTCAAAAGTTTGTGGGTTTGCTATGTTTTGTTTTTTGTAAAGAAATTAATACTTTTAATCAGCAAGGATACATTTAAGTGACCGAGAAGACATTAATAATTTTACAAATAATTTTTTATTTCACATAGATGCTTTTTACAGTTTCAAAATATTAGGCAGCACAACTGTTTTCAAGATTGATAATAATAAGAAATGTTTCTTGAGCAGCAAATCAGCATATTTGAATGATTTCTGAAGGATCATGTGACACTGAAGACTGAAGTAAAGATGCTGTCATTTGCTTTGCCATCACAGGAATAAATTACATTTTAAAACATATTACAATAGAAAACACTGGTAACACTTTATTTAATTAATATTACTCAGTACTTAAATGTATAATTACACTGTAACAAGGACACCTTAAAATAAAGTGTAACCAAAACACTTAATTTAAATTGTAATAATATTAATTCAAATATTACTGTTTTCACTCTTTCTTAGTTTCTTACTCTTAATTTAGTTACACATAAACACATTTTTAACCTTTTTTTCTGGCAATTTAAACTGTTTTTGCTACTGTCCATCTATATGTAATTTACCGACATTTAGAGTCAGCATGAAAATTCATGTTGATGCTCTTATTGTGAACGATTTATCCCTGCATATGTTTCATTTCTCTTGACCTCATAACTTCAAATCAAAATGTCATAACTTAATCTTCCGGTAAAATTACCTTTCCAATCATTACGCCCACTTAAAACACTCCCCTTGCTGCAAACTCCCATTCAGATCTGCCTTTATTTACTCAGCGACCAATAAATAGAGCCATCGATAATCAATTTCACTTGGGTCTATGTCACAATATGAAAATGCACAATACAGAAAAATGTTTATCGCTACATCTGTTTCATCACGACTTTAAGGCATCTATATGTAAATTTCCTCTGTTTTGATTGGCTAACTTTTTTTAAGGTAAAATGATGAACACTTCCATTTCAAAATATCCTCCATTATTTTCCATTATATGTCTCCTTTAAAATGAAAGCAACACTTCCATATGATGTTGCCCATATGAAGAGTTCAGATGCAAAAGCCTCTAAGTGCCATTTGAAATTCTTCTAAAATTAGCATTTTTATCGGGCTCCTATGTGTAGGTTCAGTAATTTCACTTTAATGGCAATGAATAGGTTCTTTTCATTGCCATTAAAGTGAAATAACTGAACATAAACATTGGAGCCTGAGAAGAATGCTCATTTTAGAAGAACATTTCAAATGGCACGTAGAGGCTTTTGCCTCTGAACTTTTCATATGTTTTCAAGTACAGCAGTAAACCTGATGGCCATTGTTATTTACATGAGTACAGCACATATGTTCACATCTGTTCATGTGGTGTTATATTAACTTGTGTATGTGTGCGCAGGGATTGGCGGAGAAACACCAGAAGACACTGGCATTGCTACGTAAACAGCAGACGGTGATTCTTGACGATGAGCTGATTCAGTGGAAGAGACGTCAACAGCTGGCTGGCAATGGCGGGCCGCCCGAGGGAGGACTGGACATACTACAGTCATGGTGCCCACACATGCATACTTAGCAGTCTAATTTAGGACATACCATAGACCTCTATTGTTTTTAAAGCTAAAGATAATTTTAATTACTACAGATTAAGCCAAACCCTTATGTACAGTTATTTTATTTTACATTTATTTTATTTTATATATTTGTTTATTTTATTTTATTTTGCTATCTTCTGGGGCAGAGTTGTCCCAGTGCATGGCTAAATAAAGCAATACACACACTAAGACAGTTATGCAAATAATCAGAGGCATGTGTATGTTGTGGTTTTGCACAAAACATTTGCGTTTACATTACACACACACAACATATGCAGAGAGCAGCTCTGTAGTTTATGCTTGGGTTTGGCATTTCTGCATGTGTTTGTGCACAGGTGTGAGAAGCTAGCAGAAACCATTTGGCAGAATCGTCAGCAGATCCGGAGGGCGGAGCATCTGAGACAGCAGCTGCCCATTCCCGGCCCCATCGAAGAGCTGCTGACCGAACTCAACAGCACCATCACGGACATCATCTCAGCTTTAGTCACCAGGTGTGTGTTTGTGTGTGAAAGAGAGAATAGCAGTGACGTTAAGTGATTGCAAAGTGCAGCAGTAATACAACCAATATCCCCCCTGTAATCAACACCGTGCAATTTTAGCATTATTATTTCAGTCAAACCTATAAAACCCCTTTGTTACCCCAAACTACATATAAAAGCTTTATCAGTGGCATAAAAGTAACCAATGCAGCTACTTAATCATTTGCTACTCGTTAACGTCCCCTTTAAATAACGTGACGCTCTGCCTTCTATGACGCTGCTCCCATTAAGCACTGTTAGAAGTGAATGAATTGATTCAGCATTTCGACACTTCCGTAAGGATGCGTTAAATTTGACAAAGCAGTTTAATAAAGGATGTATTGATCTCGTGAATTAGCGAATTGTACTATATACTATTGATCCAGTGGCATACAGACATCGTCAGATTAACAGTACTCTATCCCAATGATGTTGGGGGATCCTGTGGGGGCAGCAATCATATTTTGGGGTGGCCATGCTACTTTTTATCATAAGCCTGCTAAAATGTAGTGCCAGTACGTGTGCTCATTGGCGCCCCCTCAAGTTGGTGGCGCTCTAGGCGACCACCTAGCTTGCCTATGCCTAGAAACGGTATTGGCTTGGAGCATCTGAGGCTCCGATGCGTTCCACGTAAATGCGCAAAGCGCAGATGGGACACAACAACGCAAAGGCTGGGTCTGCCTCCTCCGAGGGCAGTGCTTGCAAGTTCCTGCCCATTCCCGGCCCCATCGAAGAGCTGCTGACCGAACTCAACAGCACCATCACGGACATCATCTCAGCTTTAGTCACCAGGTGTGTGTTTGTGTGTGAAAGAGAGAATAGCAGTGACGTTAAGTGATTGCAAAGTGCAGCAGTAATACAACCAATATCCCCCCTGTAATCAACACCGTGCAATTTTACTATATCTCTTTCTTGGCATTGCTACAATTTCAGCAGTGACTTCACAGTGTATTTGAATTAATCATATTAGTTGCCATGGTGACTTGTAACCATACATTCAAAGACATACATTTTCTTCCTTCTTGTGCTCTTTATGTGTGTGTATTTTTTCACTCAGTATTGAGCCTACAAGTCTAAGTGGTTATAGGTTTTAAGGAGGTTTTACATTTTGGGCATAAAGGAAGGGGTAATTAGTGAATAATCAAGAAATCATTTTTAAAGGGATAGTTCCAAGAAATACTCACACTCATGCCATTTCTTACATATAATACAAGAACAGGTTGATAACTTTTTCCATTAAATTACAGTGAATGGGCTTTTAGGCTTCAAAAAGGGTGCAAAAGCCTCATAAAAGTATCAAAGTGGTCTGTACAACTCGAAGCCATACAGTGCTTTTTGTGTGTAACAGAGAAAAATGAGTTATTATACACAGAAATGCTCTGCCTTAGTTCATAAGAGAAGTTTAATTAATATATCATTCAGTGATTTCAGTCGACTCATTCACTGAAAAAATCAGACTCAAAACACATAATTCATACATTAAATGGAGATTTCTACTTCTCTTATGAACAATCATGAATGCACATAGGAGAGCTGTTTTCAAAAGTCTTATGCTCACCTGGGCTGCATTTTTTTGCTCAAAGTACAGTAAATGTAATATAGTGAAAAAGTCATTGTTGTGTAAAGCATCAAACAGACATTACAAAAAGTAGCTTCAGCAAGAAATATTTAGTTTGATTCAACATAAAATTTATTACATATACTTTTTTGGACCATGAGGGTGAGTAAATGATATAATTTTCATTTTTGGTTGGGTGACTCCCAAAAGATAATTTAAAGTCATTGTTGTGTAAAGCATCAAACAGACATTACAAAAAGTAGCTTCAGCAAGAAATATTTAGTTTGATTCAACATAAAATTTATTACATATACTTTTTTGGACCATGAGGGTGAGTAAATGATATAATTTTCATTTTTGGTTGGGTGAACTATACCTTTAATAATTTTTATTATTATGATTACTATGGAAATATCGCTTGAAGAACCTTTTGAAGCACCTTTATTTTTAAGAGTGTAGTCCCGAAAGGGAGTGGTGGGAACCTTGGGCACATAACCAGGTCGGGGTCTCGAGGTAACGTGAGAATCAGCCGGACCAAACTCAAAGCACGATTCGTTGACTGAGAATGCCTGCAGGTCCCTTACCCTCTTGATTGAAGTGAGTGCGATCAGGAGCAAAGTCTTGAGAGACAGGGATTTCAGCTCAAATTAATCAAGCGGCTCAAAGGGGAGCGGAGTAACCCTGTCAAGACCGTGGAGAGATCCCAAGAGGGATGAGGTGCGACCTGGGAAGTCTCCTCACATCTCTCAGAAACCTGACAATCAGGTGATGCTTTCCCTGGGACATACCATCCACTCCATCATGATGTGCCACAATGGCAGTGACATACACCTTTAAAGTGGAGGGGGACAGCCTTCGCTCCAACTTCTCCTGCAGGAAGGAAAGCACCACACTAACCGAGCATATCTGGGGGTCCTCTCGCCGAGAGAGACACCACTCAACAAACAGACCCCACTTCAAAGCATAGCATAGTATCTTCAACTCATCTGGGCAGCCGCCGAGGCAGAGGGCTGCTCAGCAGACTATTCAGCTTCTGAAGAGGAAAGCCCCTCCTCTGATGCAGCGATACAATAAAGATGAATTGCAGCCAAGAAATTCCTGCAGATCTTCTTTTCTTGATTGTAGAATCTTCTCTTTTAAATCAAAAGAGAGATGCGCTCAAGAAGCGATCGGCTCCGAAGCAAAACTCTGAATGAGTGGACGCACATCGCCATCTTATATACCCGTATGTACGGGGAGTGGCTTGGCATGCAAATTCCACTCGCCAATTTTTATTGGCCTTTTCTTGTAATGCTCAGAGGCTCCCAAGTGAGACCCCTAACGTCAGTTAATGTCGACGTAACGTCGAACGTGACTGACTGAAAGGGAACACCATTTATATGAAATAGAAATCTTTTTTAAATGTCTTTACTGTCGCTTTGCATAAATTGAATCCATCTTTCATGACTAAAAGCATTAATTTCTTAAAACAATACATACTATAAAATATAGTGTGCAAGTCATATGTATCACTTTTACATCCGGAAGGAACAGAAAAGGTCATAATAAGGGTTTGCAATAGCATGAGGGTGAGTAAATGATGACGCAGTTGTCATTTTCGAGTGAACTATCCCTTCACATTGTCCATATTCACATTTTATGAAATTAAATGATGAATGTCTTAGTACCAAATGATTGAGTGTTTACTCACCCTGCATGTGCTGGTATCTGTGAGAAATCAACCGAGGCCGTTTATCAGAGAGATCACTTTGGTGGCACACAGGGGATGTCTACAAACCTCTGCTCTCCTTCACTCTCTTCCTCATAATATCTCAAGCTGTCAGCATTCACACCTACCAATGGGGATGAATGTGATGCTTCATTCATGTGTGTCTGTGCAGCGCTGCTTCAAATCCAATCAGGGCCGTTTCTAGCCATTTTGACGCTCTAGACGAAATCCCTATTGCCCCCCCCCACATCATATATATATATATAAAATTTCTTTTCAGACACCAGTTTTTAATTTGTGGAGATTCAACGCATTGTGAGTTCCAAAAATCTGAGCGCATTTATAAATTGACTGTTAAGATAAAAATTTTACACAATTTATTATCTGTAATACCATTGTGTAGCCACTATATGCCTCTATAGCCCTATGTAACAATCCCTAGTAGCTGAAAAATTGTCATTACACATAAATTAACTTTATTACATTTGGATTTGGATACATGTTTAGATATTATAAATGGCTACTTTTTGTCTTTGTTTTCTGTTAAATTTTTTTGTTGTTGTTGTTTGAAACGTTGATTTAAAGTGTCAGTTATTGCATTATTATTTCAGTCAAACCTACAAAACCCTTTGTTACCCCAAACTACATATAAAAGCCTGATCAGTGGCATAAAAGTAATCAGAATGTAGTTACTTATTACTTTGTTACTCACTGACGTGTGAACTTCCCCTTTAAATAACAACGTTCTGCTCTCTATGTGTATGATGCTGCTCCCATTAAGCACTGTTAGAAGTGAAGTGTGTGTGTGTGTGTGTGTGTGTGTGTGGGTGTGTGTGTGTGTGTGTGTGTTTGGTGCCTCAGGCCATACAGTCACTGAAACACTGAGCTTAATGGAAACTGTGCTTTTAAAAACCATCAGTGTCTAAATGGATCTCCATCAACCTGAGAAGTGTAACGCTGGCTTTTTAACTATTTAACATAATTGTTTTGTTGTTGTTGTTTGAAACGTTGATTTAAAGTGTCAGTTATTGCATTATTATTTCAGTCAAACCTACAAAACCCTTTGTTACCCCAAACTACATATAAAAGCCTGATCAGTGGCATAAAAGTAATCAGAATGTAGTTACTTATTACTTTGTTACTCACTGACGTGTGAACTTCCCCTTTAAATAACAACGTTCTGCTCTCTATGTGTATGATGCTGCTCCCATTAAGCACTGTTAGAAGTGAATGAATTGATTCAGCATTTCGGTGTCTAAATGGAGCTCCATCTACCTGAGAAGTGTAACGCTGGCTTTTTAACTATTTAACATAACATAGCCACATATCAAAATGAATCCAATTCGGATTACTACATACCAGTTAGAGATGTGGCCTGGTGAATAGTGCACATGCAATGACTACTGCACAGTGGTGTATAAAGTACCTGAAAGCTATACTCAAGTAAAAGTACAGACATCTTACCAGAAAATGACTTTGGTAGAAGTTGAAGTCACCGTTTAGAATATTACTTGTGCTTTTTCACTTTTTCAACTTTAGTTAGTCTGTAATGTTGCTGTTTGAGCATAAAAAAGATCTGCAAAGTTAGAAAGGTCAAAGTCCAATTCAAAAGGAGATATTTTATTTAACAGAAATCACTTTTCAAAAACTACAATGGATGACTCGTTTGGACTACAATGCATATTTTCCGGGATTTGTGATATCACAAAGATCGACGAATGGGACGAGACCTGGTTGAGCTGCACTAGAGAAGGCAACGAGTGTTAACGAGACACGCTAGCTTTCCCAAGGCAGACGAACTTAAAGTGGTTACTATCATCCGAGTTTAAATCGCGCTCAAAACTAGTACACCCCCAAAACAAAATCAAGACTTTGTAAAAGAGCATAATAGGACCCCTTTAAAACATGAGAAAATGTGAAATTAAAACCGCCAGTAGGTGACAGCAAGCGACTGTTAATGAGTGAGTCATTGAGATTCAACCGATTCATTCAAATGGCTGATTCATTCAGGAACAAAACATTTGACTGTGTTAATGAGTGAATCACTGAATCATTTATTCAACCGATTAGTTCAAAAAGCTGATTCATTTGTCGGCGCCAATGGCCTCGTGGGCAGCGTGCCGACATGTAGCGCCATTGCGCTTAGGGCATCCCGAGTTCGAGTCCCAGCTCGCGGACCTTTTCCAACCCCACCCCCCTCTCTTTCACCCACTTTGCTTCCTGTCAACTTACTGTCCTATCTAAATAAAAAAGACATAAAACGCCAAAAATAAAACTTAAAAAAAAGCTGATTCATTCAATAAGTAAACACCGTCCATTGCTC